TTTCTATTAATTTGGATCTTCTTTGATTTATTTTATTAGAATTTTTCAGGTTTTTAGTTTTTACCTATGTGTTTGTATTCCAGGTTACTAATTTTAATCTTATGGCTCTTCTTTCCTTAAATCTAGACCAGTACTTTCCAGTACAGTAGCCACTAGTCACATGTGGCTATCAAGTACTTGAAATGTAAGCTAATTCAAATTCTGATGTAATTGGAAATATACATTAGATTTCAAAGATTTAGTAACAAGAAAAAATAGAATGAATCATTAATAATTTTTGTATGTATATAAAAATTATATTTTGGATTTAACATATTATTGGGATTAATTTCATGTGGTCACTAAAAAATTTAAACCTACATGATGCTTACATTACATTTCTATTGGATAGCATTTCTCTAGATTTTGGTATACATCAATTTGTCAAAGTTTTCATGTCCAAATAAATTAGGGTTAATTTTCCAAAGATTATTTTATACTTTTCCACATAAAATACTCTCAGAATATGCTATTTTCCTTTGATTAGTACTGTAAGCAAAATTTGTCACTTAAAAAAAGGAATGACCTTATTGCCTTCAAATGAGGACATAAATAGGATTATTGCAAAAATAAAACAAATGCAGAGAAAGGAAGGGCAAATTGAATGGCTATAACTGAATAAAGGTAAGGAAGCAGAGACAAATGTATTATGAATCTAAAAAAAATTCAAGCTTAAACTTCATTTTTCTTTACTTGTATTGGCTTCTTTCAGGTTGTAAGATCATATTAGCAATGGGTTCACAGATCCTGCATTTTGTAGCATTTGAAAAAATAAGATACCTTTACCAAATACTTATGACCTCTCTTTCCAATACAACTTACTTTTTGTAATGCCTTGTCTAGTGTCAAATTACATTGATATGACCATAGATATTTTGGGGATCCTCCTAAGAAAGGTTGAGTTGGAGACATCTTTAGTTTGAGTTTCGTGGAATATATTTATGTGCTTTGTGAATAGTTGTTTCTGCCATTTCAGTATTAAAAATGGCTCCCAGGAATACTTCAATCACTCCCCAGTGTTTCAAAGTACCAGGTATTGGAACACCAAGGTGAAAGTCCAGAGACATCAACAATTTGTGTCTTATGGTGCTTGGTAGCAGAAGTATGTGGTGAATGGAAGAGAAAAAGAGTTTATAATATTTGAAGCTAGAAACTAGTCTTTGGAAAATTCTGCCAATTATTAGACAGTAAAATTGGAAGCAAGAGTTTCAATTTTGATTGATGCCCCATTTAACAGGAAAATTTCTTCTGTTAGGAATATATTTGATATTGCAGCAATATAATTACACATTTACTATAGTTTTTTTCTTTTGTTGGTGGGAATTAAATGAAACTGACTTTATTGGAATTACTATGTTTGTAGGGCAATACCTTTAATATATAGTAAGCAAAGAAAATGTCTGTGTGTGAAGCCATACACACACACACACACACACACACACACACACACACGATCATCATGTGACTTTTCAATATATATAATCCAGAAGAGAATAAAAATAAATATATGTGGCATTGTTCAAAGTTGTTCTCAAAGCTTGATGAGGATCACTGGAGGGTCTTTTAGATCCTTTGGGTAGGCTGGCAAGGTAAAATTATTTTTGTAGTAATAGAAACATTTTATTTTCCTTTTTTCATTCTCTAGTTAAGAACGAAATTTGCCATCACCTACATATGTGAAACCAAACATTTTATAAATTGTTTTAAAAACATAGTTATTTTTCATTTGAAAAGCATGTTACTTCACTGGGTGGTGCATGCCTGTAATCTCAGTGGCTTAGGAAGCTGAGGCAGGAAGATTTTGAGTTCAAAGCCAGCCTCAGCAACTTAGAATGGCCCTTACAACTTAGTGAGACTCTGTCTCTAAATAAAATATAAAAAGGGCTAGGATTGTGACTCAGTGGATAAGTGCCCCTGAGTTGCCAAAAAAAATTACAAGTAATTTAAATATTCTCGATATTTTAAGATGAATTCATAATTAAATACTTTTAATTTATTAGTTTTAATTTCTAACTAAAATAATAAATTATTTGTAATAGTTACCTGATAATTCCATTAGGTACTTATTTAATTTTATTGAAAACTGACTACCTGAGTTGCCAAATCTATCCATTCTTATTTTAATACCATCATAAATATTTCCAATTTGTCATAGTTTTTATGTCCTAGAGGTTTTCTATTCCAGAAAAAACTACTACAGTCAGGTCAGTGAAAGATGAGACATAGATCTCTTTTAAGATGGAGAAAAGGTCACTATGAAGGAAGAGGAAGAAAAGGAGTACAAGTTTTCAGGAAGATATTTCTTAGGAAAGTACATGTATGGGAGTTGAGAATGGAGATTGAGTCCTTAAAACTGTCAGCCTACAGCACTTGGAAAGTCTTGATTCCCTTACCAGTAGCATACTCCATTTGGAGTACTGTTGATTTGGGTGGTCTGAATGGGAATCATACCCAAGCAAATAAGTACAGCATGTTCCTACTGTCATGGAGATATGGTTGTAAAAGTTTAGGGCAGAAGTTGTGGAACTGGAAGGACAGATAGCCTCAAATGGTTTGAAGGATATTGGAAATAAAATGAATTTATATAGTGGTTTGGAGCTTGCAAAACATCTTCATGTATTATCTATTTTGATCATACTAACCTTATGAAATATCCATGAAGAGGACTTTTGCCTGCATTTTACAGATAAGAAAAATGTCTCAGAATTTTTTAAAATATTTTTTTAGTTGTAGATGGACACACAATATCTTTGTTTTATAAAATTATTTTTTATATGGTGCTGAGGCTCAAACTTAGTGCCCCACATGTGCGAGGCAAACACTCTACCACTGAGCTACAGTTCCAGTCCCTCAGAATTTTTTAAATAGGAAATTGTTTTTCTAGGAAGTCTTTTCATGACACTTTAAAGTAGTAGCACTAATAGCAAAATATTTGCAGAAGATTGAATCCTAATTTACTCTCATTTGGCCATGAAAAATTTGATGATTCATATATATAATATTCAGATTCTGTAAATCTGAAATACTGTGGATAATATATCTTCAACAGCAGTAAAACTTTACCTGAAAAACTTGCTGTGCAATATATTTCATGGGTATATATTTAAGTTTGTTCCATACTGATGTGGCCAAATATATGTAGTGAGAAATGTAATTAACCTGATCTCTTCCTTTTTGGGGGCTCTGCTATAGTTTATTGACCTCATTCATTTCCTTCCAATCTGGATGAACTGCAATGTTCTGGGTTATATTTAAAGTAGATCTACCTAGTAGGTGGATGAAGCAAGAATATCAGATTGGCTGTTTCAGTGATTATTTTTGTCAATGCCATTTCCCACTCTCAGATATATCAAAAGTAAACATTAAATGCCATGATCACTAGCTTTGACTATAAAGCAGCTTGAGGACAAGCAATAATTTATAATTATTTGTTTACATTGTGTTATAGATGACAAAATAATTTTCTTGTTGAAAATTAAATTTGTGTCTCTTATGGAAGAGTGGATCCTTAGGTAGTTGTGAGGAGATTAGAATTTGTGCTCATATTGTTGAGTGTCCTCTCCTTTGATAGAAGTGCTGCCTACTCCAAAGTCCCAGATATAGAATGTCATGTAAATGTCCTCAGGTAGCACAGTTTCTGAAGGCATCCAATATCTTCTGTCCTCAAAGAAGAAAAGAGTAAGTTTTTAAAATATATTTTAATAGCTATATCATCCAGATTTGAAATGGCATAAAATAATATTTTGAAGACAAATAAATCCATTTAATTATCTTTTTCAGAAGGAATGTATTCTCTACATTTAATATAATTTCTAAAATGTTAAGGAAGTTTTCAGATAAACTGAGAATTTCTTCAGAGACTCTCTGCTGAGTCTCAATCTATTCCATTATATGATCAATGAAAAAGATTCAGAAGGAATGTATTCTCTATATTTAATATAATTTCTAAAATACCAAGGAAGTTTTCAGGTAAACTGAGAATTTCTTCAGAGACCCTCCGCTGTGTTTCAATCTATTCCATAATATGATCAATGAAAAAGATTCACATATATCACCACCAAATTTGAGGATATTTAGTTGAAAAACTTTGAAGCAGTTTAATGAATTCCTGGAAGAAAACAAAACACTTCTTAAAGGTAGATAAAAGCATATGGAGTTTAAACATTTTTACTTGAGATCAAATTCTCTTCCAGAAATATGAGTGTCAATATGAGGTCATTCTTATATTATCTAAGGATATTTGACTCTGGACATCCCCACATGTTAACACTTCTTTTCTAGTTGGTGCTAGAAGAGCTTATTTTTGCAACTTTTCTTAAGTCTTATCAGAGGGGAATGCAGCTAGGTTTATCTACTGTGCTAACTCTATTACCAGTGGCTGCTTACAATAGTGTATTAGGAAGTTCTGAGTCTCATTCTAACCAGTAAGTTGAAACTCAATCATTATGAACTAAAGTGTATCTGGTATAGGCTTCTGTGTGTGTGTGTGTGGGGGGGGGGATAGGGTGTTGTAGGAGACAAGAAAAAAAGGAGCACTGTCTCCTTCCAAATATTTCTGGCTCTAATCTAACATAGGAAATACAGCATGCCAAGGTTACATGTCTCTTTCAGAGTTAATACCGTAGTGTTGGTGGCCCAATAAAACCATTCCTTCACATTACTTGAACCGATGCTAATTGAGTAAAGAGGGATTTCTGATTTTATTAAGATCCACAATCATCCAGCAGCTAAGGAGGCTGAGGCAGGAGGATTACAAATTCAAAGCCAGCCTCAGCAATTTAATGAGGCCCTAAGCAATTAACAAGACTCTGTCTCAAGATAAAAAATTTAAAAAAAGGTTGGGGATGTTGCTCATTGGTTAAGCAGCCCTGGGTTCAATCTCTGGTAACAACAAAACAAAACAAAATCTGCATTTGTCAAAAAAGACAAAGAACTCTTGTCTCCCATTCTGTGAATGACTTTCATGGCTGAAGACATTTTCCAAGATGAGAGAACTTACGATTTGGTGATTCTGTGGTGGTTTCGTCTGTAGTTTGTGTGCCCCTTCTGATGCCTGCAGGGGTAGTCTCTCCAAACTCATCATCATCTATGCCAGTAGGAGTTGCAAGGTGGCTCGCTGGGGTTCCCTGGTTGGTAGGATTTACTCCTGTTTGTCCTGCAGGAAGGACCCCATCCTGGGCATCTGGATTAGCTCCTGCCTGATTGGTGGGCTGGATGCCTCCGGGAAACAAGGGATGGATGAGAAGGCCTGTGAAGATTTGTGGGGCCAATGGCTAGAATGAGGAAAAGAAACAGAAAACAAAGTCAAAAGAAACACATTTTATGATTAGTCAATGAGCCTGTCTCTTTGGAGGGCAGCAAGTTGTGAGTAGGAAGGAGAGGGCAAAGTCAGAGAAGAAAACAAAGATTTGCCATTCCTCAGTGAAGATGCCTCTCTTGCCAAAGCCAAGCCGGATGCTGGTTTCATTATTGGGGTTCTTTGTTTGTGCTCTATTTTCCTCAGAATGAGAAAACCAGAATCAAACTGGTCACAGGAAGAGGTATGATATATGCTTTGTTATTATCAGGTGGATCTGGAGATAATACTAAAGGAGAAAACTCATACAATAATAATGGTGATAACTCTGTTATTGACCTAAAAATAGACTTTCTTTTGCCAATAAAAGTTTTTTTTTTTAAAAAAAGTAATTTAGGAAATTAAAAATAAGTGGAAAAATTAGTTCTGGTAGATTCACCAAACATCATCTTCATCCTTTTAAGGTTCTTTCAATTCAGCTGCTAGTGTGTTTTTTGAGGTTACTGAAGAAACTCTTCTCTTGAAGTTTTCCACTGTTAAAAAGATTCTGATTGAGTGAGTCTCAGCAGAACTCAGGAATCTGCATCTTAAACTGGTTCTCAAAGTCATCCTGAATTGGTGGCCAAGACTGAAGTTTGAGAAATACTGTCTTAGATTTAATAGATACTGAAATCAGAATTAGACTTATACCAGATGATATAGGAGTAGAGTGCACTGGAAAAGCTTTTAAACTGAGAATTATGACAACCACAGCTTTGAAATAAGAAAAGTGGGTGGCATCCATCTTTTAAAAAATAAAATGGAATAGATTATAAATTACCATGGTACATTCCATACAGTAAGGGGAATTTTTTTTTCCTTTGGTACTGGGGATTGAATTCAGGGGCACTCAACCACTGAACCACATCTCCAGCTATATTTTGTATTTTATTTAGAGACAGAGTCTCACTGAATTGCTCAGTGCCTCGTTTTTGCTGAGACTGGCTTTGAACTTGCAATCCTCCTGTCTCAGCTTCCTGAACTGCTGGGATTATAAGCATGCGCCACCACATAGGGCAGTTAGAGGAATATTGTGTGTATGTGTGCATATGGTTTGAGTGGCATAAAAACACAATATTAACTATGAGTTGAACCAAAAAATGTTTGAAAACCACCAGAATCTTAGATAGAAAAGTGGTTTTGGATTTGGATGTAGTCTTTTTTTTTTTTTTCTTTTCTTTTGTTGTCTTTTAGACCTAAGGTTCAGTTTCAGCTGTGTCCAAGGTCTTGACTTTGTAGTTTGGTGAGAGTTAAAGGCCATGTATGTAAGGGATCCACTTAAGTGCTTGCCATGTAGAAGGTCCAATAACTGGTAGACGTGGAAGTTCATGTATCAGTGTTGGAAAAATAAGACACTACTCCCATTACTTGATTATTATTTATGGAAAAAACAGCAAATCTCGAATACCTTTTTCATAATAGGAAAACTATTTAAAAACTGTGTTCTCAGATATTGCCTAGCTTTCTTATTTCTATTGTCATGTTTATATATCATATGGATTCAAGTCATTTTTTAAAACATGATTTATGGATGACTAGATATTAGTGTGTATTTGTGTTATTAAGAATGCCATTTAGGGGCTGGGTTTGTGGCTCAGTGGTAGAGCATTTGCCTCACACACGAGGCACTGTGTTCAATCCCAGCACCACATAAAAATAAATAAATAAAATAAAGATATTGTGTCCATCTACAACTAAAAGACCTAATATATATAAAATGAATGCCATTTAGGCCTAGGCCTCCTATTACTTGTGTGTATAGGAAAGAGTATTTATCACTATCAGATGCTAGAAAATATTTTCTTCTCATAAAACTAAAAAATACAAAAAGTAAATATTTATATTATTCTACATTTGCATTCATTTCAATATTTTTTAATTATAGATTTTGATCAGTATAGAGTTAAAAATGTGTAATAGGTCTCTGAGAACCATAGAACTGAGCCTAATGGCAATGTGTGAAAGACCAGTACTAAGTCATCATAACAGAAAAGTAGCTGCAAGATGATGATAAAATCCCCAGAGAGAGAATAATATAATTCAAAGGTGTATAAAAATGTTCAGTTTACTATACCCCAGATTCAGGTTTGTGGCCAAAGAGTATATGAGATGATAGAAAACATTGTGGTAGAAGTAAAAAGAGTTTGGAATGATAGTTTTGAACAAAAAAAAATTTTTTTTACCAATTCCTCTGAGCTTAGGATAGTACCCTAAAAACAAAATTTTAAACAAAAGATATTAGACAAAGTTTAATATACTCAAATATATATATATATATATATATATATATATAGATACATATCATAACTTAAAAACTCAAAATACTTTTAAATATTATAAAGAGATATTTTGTTTTCCACAATATGTTAAACTGTCTTTGTGATCTGTATCATAAAATTGACATCAGCTTATGATATGGGGACTGCTAACATTTATTATTTGAATAATGTGAGGTCACCTACATTTTAAAAATTATATATTTTTTGTAAGTAATAGATATACATTGGAGGAAACTTAAAGATACAGAAAGCATTAGAGAAAAAAATACTCTCACCATTCAGTTTATGGTATTTTTTCCAAATGTCTTCCAATTTTTTTTACAGAATAGAAATTATGTCATTTATACAGTTTTCTGTCTTTCTTGCCTTTTATTTCAGCATTCCTTAATTATCACTTAACTGTATTGTTAATAAATTTTAATATGTATAATTCTGAATGGCACATAGTATTTGCTTTTATGTTGCATGGCTTAACCTTTTTCTTTGTAGGGGGTCTTAAATTTAAGGTATATCCAATACTTTTCTCTATACTATTTTGATGAATATATTGTACATAAACCTTTGCTATATTTCAAATAATTCTTGTAGAATATGGTCCTACATATGGGATTGAGTTGTTAGAAATTTTATATTTGACTCTGTTTTTAGAAGTAAAAGCTGTCACCTTATTCTGATATTGCTACTGGCCCTTTGTAATTTTATCAGTGATCTCAAGAATTATTTTCACTAAAGTAGATAGGAATATGGGAAAGAAAGTAAAAAAAAATTTTAAGTATATATAGTTAAAAAATAAATTTGAGATAAAAAATCCCCCAAATCACAAACAATAAGATTAATCCCATTAATTTATTTCGTTTTTAACAGTTTGGTTTAGAAGATTGACTAGTTGCCTCATCTGATGTATCAGCTACTATAGGTGCAACTATAGCTTAGTAACTGCTACTATCTCTACTTATCTTTAAATTGGACATAAAAATAATGCCTGCAGAGATGGTTTTATTTTTATTTTGGGGGGATGGGGGTTGGACCCAGGGGAGTTCTACCACTGCACTACATTCCAAGCCCTGTTTAATTTTTATTTTGAGGCAATGTCTTCCTCAGCCAGGGTGGTCTCAAATTTAGGATTTTCCCGCCTCAGCCTCCCAAGTCACTGGAAATACAGGTGTATGATCCCGTGCTTGGCTAAGAGGCTGTTTTAAATATTAAATGAAATAACACATGCAAAGTACTTTTCAGAACAGTATTTGGCATGTATTTGCTCAGTAAGTGTTAGCTTTTATTATTAGTGGCCATACAGTAAAAAGTAAATCAGAAACATGGTGACTGATGAATTGGAAAGAGGTTAAATATTTTATACCAAGGTGATTTAAAACAAAATCATACTAAAATAATTTTACCTGGGCTCCGAGTTGTGCTACAATAATTGGTAACATCTGAAAAAAAGGGAAAAATTTATTAAAAATGTATATTCAAAAATGAGTTCTGGTAGATGGTATAAATCTTGAAATTTCCTTGAAAGGATTTAATATCTGTTTAACCAATGCTTGTTACTAAGTATCATCATAGATACAGAATCTTAGAGCTAGATGGCAATTGAAACTTACGTAGTGTGTAAAAATAAGATCAGACCCAGATTGTTTTACATTTAAAGCAATACATTTAGAAGGTAGAAGTTATACATTGGATGATGCTGTGGTTTGAATAGTGTCCTCCAAAGGGCTCTAGAGTGTACGCTTGATCAGTTTGGTTCTTTGATAATTGGGAGCTGCCAACAGTTATAGGTTTTGTGCCAGAGAAAGTAAGGAAGGATTTTGAGAGACTGGAACTGCCTAGGAGATCATGTATGGGGACCCTTGTTGGTAGAAGAATCAGGGAAATTAAAGAGTCCTGTTAGAGAATGGAGATGGATTTGCATTTCTGCATGCAGGGGAGTGTGCAATGGCAAACTTTATACTGAAAATTTTGTAACATTTACCGAGCCCACTAATACTTTGACTGAAGTGGGTATGTAATCTGGGGAATAAGTTGTACTAAGTCTGTCTTCAAGGTTAAAATAGAGCAGGGCAACAATTGAAACTGAACCTGGGTAGTCAGAACATGGAGTATACCAGAATCATGTATTAAAGAGAGTCACATTTTATTTGCATGTTTTTCAAGTCTTTTTCAGAGGTTCAGCTTTTTTAACCAAGATTTCTATTATTGGGCCAGGATTGTGGCTTAGCGGTAGAGCGCTCATGTAGCACATTGGAGGCCCTGGGTTGGATTCTCAGCACCACATAAAAAATAAAATAAAGGTAAAAAAAAAGATTTTTATTAAGAAGACATTTTATGTGTCTTCAGTTCCATAAATCCTCTCCTAAGAATAGATCCAAAGGAAACACTCACTCATTGATGTATCATAGACTTAGTTACAAGGATGTTCTCTGTAGCATTGTTTACAGAAGCAAAAAGTTTGGAAAAACCTCCATGTTTTCACTGTATGGAATTTGGTATAAAATGGCATATTAAGCAGTCATTTATAAATAAAGTTACAAGTGAATATTTCAAGGCATGAAAATTATTCAAGATATATTTAGAAGAAAAAATCAGGTTACATAACATTAGGTAAAGAATATGTTTTCTTAAAAAAATGTACATATAGCTATTGAATAAGGATTTGAAAGACATATCCTATATAGTGTTTGATTTTGGGTGAATTTTATTACTTCTTTTTGCTTGTATGTATTTTCTCAATTTTTATAATTAACATATTATTTACATAATAAATAATCAATGTTTCTACAAAACACTTAGACCATTTGGTGGGTTCCTGGGGCTGAGATCACTTGCTGGGAAGAATAAGTTGTCCCAAAACAACAGTCCAGCCATAGACAATTGCATTTTTCTTTAGAGAATATTAAATTGTTTAGAGACATTTCAAGAAATTAAGAATTTTGTCTTTGTTTAGTGTTAAAAGTGAATGCTTCTAAAGAGAGTGATATTTTAAGTACATTATGTTTATCTTAGTGTGAGAGGGTATCCCAGAATTTTTTTCTGAAAGCAAATGATAGTGGGAGGTAAGAATATAGTAACTAAAAAGTCCTAGGAGACTTTTGAGGTGGCATGGAAAAAAAGAGAACAAAAAAATTTAGATTTAATGGAGGTAAAACTTTACCCATATCTTAGTTTTTCTTTGGGATGGTCTTGGTCATCTGGAAAGTATTCAACAGAAAACAGAATATGCTAGAAATAATTCTGGTTTCTCTCAATTTGACCTTATATTCTTCACTCTTCAATATTCCCCAACTTTTTATGGTTTCTTGTTACTCATTGAAAATGTGTTCTAGGGAGGTTATTGGGCAGTATTCTCAGTTTTAGGGGTGTGTTTTCAACAAAAATCAAATTATCAAATACTATTCTACATTTAGTAGAACATAACATCCGCAAATTATTTGTTCAATTTTTCAAGAAAGCTTAAAAAATTCTTTGAATTCTGTAAGCTTTCATCTGAGAGAAAATGTTCTCTAATGTTGAACTGAAGTCCAGTTTTTGAACTTACTTGTGATTGCAGCTGCTGTTGTCCATTCAATGCCCCCAGGGTCAATGGCAGTGTTTGGGCACCAGGTGCCATTCCTATAGCAGGATTAAACTGTGGATAATGCAGGAGATTTTTATTGTGTTTCTTTCAGTTCCAACATTTGGGAAACTAATATGCATTTACTAAATGTAAATATATATTTAAATGGAGGATTTGCTATATAAACATAGTATTCTACTGTGTGTGTAATTTGACAAAGAAATGAAATCCAAAGACTTGTTTAGTCTGCTAGTATACCTATAAGATCTATTTTTAACTTTTTCCATATTAAGTTTTTCTTTGGCATTTAATTCCATCTATTTGAGAATTATTTAGGTGATGTTTTCCTTTCTTTCTCCATCTGATTACAACACTAATGGCTCTTAGAATTTTTTTCCTAAAGAAATTAATTCCTTCATTGCTATCCTCTTGAAAATTGAGAGGTTTGGAATTAAATATCTTGGCTGGAACATGAATTAATGCTTTATTTAAATCTGAACACTGGAAAAAATCCATATCAATCAGGAAAGATTTTTCTATTCTTGAATAGATTACAGATATTCTATGAGAGGACTCAAGATCTTTTTATTCTTTTTAGTTTTCTCTTATTGGGGTAATAATGGTGATCATAGTGTTCAGACATTCTAAGGGGGAATTCTATAGTGGAGGAATGGAGAAAGAATCTTGCAGAAGAGGTTGGAGGAGTTGGAGAACTAAGATTTGAGTTAGATCAATTTCTTTGGAGACTCCTATTAAGAAAATCTTTTTGGAATGCATTGATTGCATCCAATGCTTTGACTATCCTTTTATTCCTCTTTTACAATTTATCTACAGTGAGTATGTGTATGTTCACTTATGGATGAACATTTCCATGTGTTCTTGTCTCTCCTCCATGCTGAACATTAGGTAGTATGTTTATTGAATAATGGGTAATGACATAAAAGATTACTTACCAGTTGCAGATCTGCCCCCAGTGTGAGCAACTGTGTTAATGGTATTAGACTTAAAGAAGAGAAGACCTAGAGGGCATTGAAATTGGTGTATTAGACTAGAGATTATCTGTTTTTTTTTCTACTCTGTTAACAGTAGATGTCTTCAAGTAATCTATACTTCTATCAGAGGTGGATTGGTCCTTGGAAGTGTCCTATGTTCACACTTATGGTGTTTATCAGTACCTCATTTTACATATTGATTTTTGTAATCTTTTTCTTAAAGAGGGTCTTGGAAATTGTATAAGCTTCAGATTCCTTAAGGAAAAGGATTGACTCCTAATTAGAGTGTTTTACAATGTCCATTGACTAAAGAAAAAACTTTAGATTTTAGTATTATCTGACTGTACTATTTCACAAAGTCTATATATAGGTAAGGCAGAGCCCTTATATATTGTCAAAAAGTTGGAGGGCCAGGGAGTACAGTAACCAAGCTCATGGAGTTTTCAAAAATGTTTAAATATGCTTTGAAGAAACAGATTCTATAGAAACGCATCAGCTCATCAACAGAGTAAAACTTAAGAAAGCCATGAAGAAACATGCTGTTATTTTTATGGATTACCTCCTGATCTCTGCCATCCTTGTAAATTCAACACAGCATGTCAGAGTATCTCAAAGGCATACATGACCAAGCTTTGTAAAAAGGTGTTGTTATTGCTTTTCAAAGTTTACTAGAGTTAGTTGTTAAACCAACTATTCAGGCAAAAGAAAAAGAATGAGAACACTTTACTTTCTTTATTTATATATTAAAAAAAGTGTTTTGGCTTTTTTTTCTCTCAAAGGAAAAGCCTCTCTTTTGTTCAATCATAAGACTATATAAGTCTTGATTTTAAATCCACCAGTCTTAACATGTTTCCTTTGTTGGTTTATAAATCTTCCCTATTATAAAACAGTTACCTGATTTGGCTGCTGTTGGTTTAGTTGTGAGGCCTGATCTGGAGCTGGTTTTGTTGGAGCAAGTCCCAAATTAAACTGCTTCTGTGAATACAAATATTTGATAAGTCAGGAATGTGTTTGAGGTTTTATATCCACTTATGTCCAGAAGAAAGCAGGTTGTCCCAATAAAAATGTCTGTCTTTAAGCTTCATGTATTTTGAAACAGTTTTAATCCCTGGAATATTTTGTGTATGGCAGAAGCAGAATGCTAGAATGGAAAAATGCTGCATCAAAAAGGGTGTGGAGGACCTAAAAAAAAAGGATGTGGAGGGTTGGGCTGTGGCTCAGTGGTATAGCATGCCTACCATGGCATGCGCAAGGCAGGGCACTGGGTTCAATCCCCAGTACTGAAAAAATACAAAACCAAACCAAAATAAAAAAATTAACTATAGCCTTAGCAGTAGCAGCAACAACAACCACCCAAAACAGGTGGTGGTGGTGGTGGTGGTGGTGGTGGTTGGGGCCTTGGGAAAGAGGAAGAGGAAAGGGCGAGGTTGTTCCTGGCTCTCATTTCTTTTCGTAGCTTCTATCTTCCTTTGTTGGATATGGAATACACACTCTACATCTTAGTTCTGTGCATATTTACTTTTTCCCAATGCTTGACTTAAACTGCCATAAATCCTACTGCATTTTCATAAAGCTTCCCACCTTTGCCTTGTGCCTGACATGTTAATCCTGTAATGAAAGTTCATTTTCCCTCCTGGCCAGTATATTCTCCTAGTGTATTAAAAATGTCCTTGCTACCCATATGATCTATTTGCATGGTTTTATTCTATAGATTAGAGAAGCCCAAGGTCACATAGTGAGTGGCAGAGTTAGTATCAGGGTCTCCACTGTGCTTATAGGCTCTCAAAAAATAAATTCCTCCACTCATATGACCTCAGACTGTCTTTGTCCTTAATGTGGCCAGAGGGCTGGGAGAAGTGGCACCCTAGCACTGCATAGCTCTCTTTGGTTTACTCTGGAGCAATCAGCCACTAACTCTTGATTTCACTTTGGACTTTCCCGTTTTGTTGTAAGAAGAGCAATTAGCATTACCTGTCCTTGGATGTTCTTTTCAGTGTTAAGATTATGAAGATGTATATTCTGTAAACATTTTTTTTTCATCTGCTGCAATCTATTATTAAACCCAGCAACTGGAGTGACCCTTTGAAAACGATTGCCTACTTTTGTTATTCCTCTGTTTAGTGCCTATGATGACTGCCAATTTCACAGGGAATAAAAACCAGAGACCTTACAATGGCTACAAGGTCCTCATGTTCTGGTGCCCTAGTGCCTCTCTGATCTTCTGCCCCACCTCATTTCCTCTTGCTTTCTCTACTCCATCCATATAGGCTCTTTGGTGTTTCTCAGGTAGGTGCAGTCCACTTCTTCCCAGGATCTCACCTCCACCTCTTCTCTCTGGCTGGAATGCTCTTCCTCCAGACACTGGCTTACTCTCTCACTTGCTTTAAGTCTTTACTGGGATGCTCTTTCTTGTTGAGTATTACCATGACCAGCCTTCTGTGTATGCAAACTGATGCATTGCCAGCATGCAGCTACCCATAGGCTTGCTTCATCTAACTCGGCTCTGTGATTTTTCCCCAGTGCTTGCTACCTTTTAATAGGAATGTAATCTATGATTCAGGATGTTTACCATCTGTTTCCTTGACAAAATATAAACTTCGCAAGGTTAGAAAGGCTGTTTTTTTAATTCAATGATAATCCCAAACAGATAAATCAGTATTGGGCATACAGTAGATACTCAAAAAATAGTTATTGAAAGAATTAAATCTTGTTTTCTCCAGCATCCACTTTCTATGACTTTGATTCTTCTTATTTCCTCTCTTTCTACTCGTAGTATTGTCATATGTCACCTGCATTCAAACTTTTGATCTACTGAAAATTATCACTAGGCTGTTTTAATTCCTTGCATTTGCCACTGAGTTTCATTTTGTATGCCTTTATAATTCAATACATTTTCATAAAATAAGATATACCTTTTCCATATGTCACGATTTTTCATTTGATAAATATTGTTTCTATACCTAACACACATTTCAATGTCACCTCTCTATCTCCTACCCATTAACTATCTAGCTGATCTCACATTATTGGCCAATAGCAGTCTGCATTTGCCCATACTCTATTCTTGAGTCCATTTTGCATGGGAGCTGTATTCCTGCAAAGTTTTATTTATCTTGAATTTTTATGAATTGTATGGTAATTTAAACATAAAAGAGAGACTTTATTTTGAAGATGCTTTTGGTAAACTTGTTTAGTGAAGTGAAATATCTGTTTTCAAAAATTAACTTCCTATTTTACCTTGTTTTGAAGATGAAATTTGCACAGACAGCTTCTTTCAAGAACATATGTACGTATATATGGATGAAGTAAGAGGGAGGTTGGTCCTTCATGTTTGTTTCATCCTTCCACAAGCTCACCCTATTCATTTCCTTCATAATTATTTATAAATTAACATTTCCTTAATATAATTACTTGATTGATACCTGCAGTCCTGTGAATACCATGAGGGATTATGTCTTTCTTACCATTGTATATTCAGCAAGTAGTGCAATGTCTGACTGTGGACATGTCAAGTGCACTTGAGCCTCAACCAAGAATACTTTCTTTTATTCTGATATTTCAAGGAAAAGTCCACTTATACATCCCAACAACCCATATCTATGTCTGCAAAATAATGTGGGACAACTGGAGTAATTGTGGAATTCTAGTCCTTTCTTTCAAAAGCCCGTTAGACATGAACACAGCTTGTAATGCAATATTCTAATAGAAAATGTTGTCCACTCTATTAAATACTTTTGGTCTTATATGATTTGGTAGCCTTTTTAGAGTTCACATAATCTAGATAGCTTGTGTTTTCAATTAGAAAAATCAGAACATGTAGTTAACTGTTTTAGTCATGAGCAAATAGCTGGTTGTTGAGAAAATCTTACTTTATTTTTGGAATATAAAATAATTATCAACTTTGGATAGATAAAATTGAAAGCATTCCCTGTCCCTCATTTCTACCCTATTGCTTTGCCCAAATAATAACTTATTACATGATATAGTACATGAATTTTTAAAATTCAAATATGTTGAAATATGTACCAACACCTTATTAATTTATCATCTTTTGCCTTGGAAAATAAAAACAGTAAACTAAAAAGTGGGTCACAAAATAGAGCAGGTTTGGGGAGAGCAGGAAGAGAGAAAGGTCTGCAACTAGAGATGCTGCTGAGACTGGTGGGTACATAAAAGTAAACATATTGCACTTACTGGTAATGACTGAGTTGATCCTAGAAGACAAAACAGTAGAATCGTAGTCTTCATGTTTCAAATTTCTACCTATAAGAACAAAATAGTGTTACTCCTTCAATCTATTTTTTTCTTTTAAGAGAAGATTATGCTTTAAAAAAATGAATGTTCTACTTGAATCATGGTCAATTAATGTTACCTTTGTATTCACCAGGCAAAAATGTAAGCTGAAATAGTGAAAATCCAGATTACTTCTCCAGTTTACTCTGGTGAAAAATTTTATCCTTTGATGACTTGAGTTTGTAGAAGGAATTTAAACTCAGCTCTAGGAGACTGGCAACTTGAGAGACCAATCAGGATTTAGCTGTCTGTGAAATCATTTGGTTTCTTTCATTTCCCAACACTTCATTAAGTGGGTTATTAGTTACAGACATTATATTACCCAATGTCTACTATATGACTAGAGGGTATTTTAAGGAGACATCCCTTATGTAATTAAAAAAGTGCAGAAAAAAATTAAAATCCTTTTTTACCACTATCTTTCCCAAACTATTTCCCAAAGCTATTTGTTTTATCATATAAGAATGAATATATAAATCAAACACCAAAATATAGGTTTCTCTGTACACTTAAAATATGAAGTCTATCTTTTGGATATTGCTCTGTAACTTATCTTGTTTACTTAAGAAATAATAGAAAAGCTTATATGTCAATACACAGATTAGTTTCATTTAATCATTATGTTATATTACTTAACATTTTCCTTTTAATGGACAGTTAAATTGTATTTTACAATTATAAAGTGTTATAATGAACATTCTCAAATCAACTTTTTTTGCACATGTGGGATTATTTCTGTAGATGTTATTCCAATAAATATTATAATAAAAGATATGTACATCTTGAATTCCAGTAAGCATAACCATATTGCCTTCTAGAAATGTTGAGTAGTTTGCTTTAATTCAAATGAGGAAAAAAAATACTATGATCTACGCCAAAGACAAGAGGTCCATTAGAGTTTCTTCATAAAAACAACAGCTAAGTACTACCCCACATGTCCAAGGTCCTGGCCTTCACAGAGGCAGGTGGGGTCTGTTCAACAATTTCTGAAACCAAATCAATAATGAATCTGTGTCATCAGAGGATTCACATGGAATCCTATCTGAGATCTAGTTCCCCCGCCCCCAGTTCAGTGTCTGTTAATAGTAAATTGAGATGATAAAGCATTTTTCAAAGTTTTCCTCAAATTATACAGTTCATTTACATAATCAACTTTGATTACTGTCGCTTATTCTAGGGAAACACAAAGGCTAACAGTAATAACATCTGTGGGAATTTAAATAGGAGTAAGCATAGGTGTGAATTAGAAAATAGTTAATTTGGTTTGGGACAGAAAGGCAGGGAAGGCCTAATCAAGAAGGCCACCCTTGAGCTGGGTTTTGAAGAATAAAAATAAATTTATTAAGAATGCAAATAGGACATCTAGGCCGATCAAGAGTCTAGATATGGAGTGACATTATTGTTCCCTGAAACTGGGAAAAAATGGGGTGAGGGAAGCAGTGGGAGATAAGGTTTGAGAGATATCTGATTTAACTAGTTAAAACTATTTTTTTGGTTTGTTTCTATTACTTATTTTGACATTAAATTGAATACTATTTGGTATAGCTTCTTCATTATTTCCAGAAATTTCTCTTGAACTACATGGAGAGTTCTTGAAGCCTTGTCTTAAATTTTTTTAGAGTCTTCTATATTTATAATATTGCAAAACACAACACAGTAACCACATGTTGATTAACAAATGGTAAGAGTATATGCTATGATGAGACAGATCAAAATTGAGTTGAGCAAGGACTTTGAAGAAGAGATGCATTGCAAGAGTATACCTAAATGGCAAATAAAATATGAAAGAATTGCTTGGCGCTTATTATTAGTCTATAACTTGCAGATGAGGGCCTCAAAGAGGTAATGTTTTATAGTCACTTAATTAATCAATATTAAGAAATCTGATAATACTAAGAGTTGGTAAAGATGCAAGTCTAAGGGCTATTATACATTGGTGTAGGAGATGTAACTGTGTCTGATCACTTTGGGAAAAAAGTTTAGAAGTATATTGTTAAATTGAAAATACCAAGCAGTTCCACTCCTGGAGATATTTCCTTTGGGAAATTCTTAAAAATTTTTACTGGCAACATTGCTTATAATAAAAATGAATATTAAAACAATCTAAGTGTTCAAAAAAGGGATGCATCATTAGATGGATTTGGAGAATATGATTAATGAAAACATAAATGTCAACAAAAAGAAATAAAAAATATGATTAATGAGATGGAGAATAGCATGGTAAAGATTGATAGTGAGAGGAGCAATGGAATGTAAATGCTGGGAAGGAAGCAACTTTATGTTCTGATGAACTTCCACAGGTAAGTTAGTTTTCTGTTTTTTACCCCCCTTAATTCAGTCAATTAGTTTTTTAACCTTTCATTTAACATATCTACTCTATATTCCCTATTATTATTTCAGTTCCTTAGAATAAAATTCCCTGCCCTTGTGGAGCTTACATTTTGGTGTATCTTTGCGGGTGGGGGAGATATTCAATATTAAACAGCCTCATTGTATAACATACAGCCTATGACATTGGTTTTCTGTTTCTCTTGGGCTTTATTTTAAATGAATGTAGAGTGAGGGTCTTCCTATGAAATTATTTTTTCTTTTTGGTACAAGCAGAGTTGAATTTTATGCCACTGTTGTTTCTGGGCTATGATGAGACAGACCAAAATTGAGTTTGGTGTGGAGACTTGTGTTCTATTACCAGTCTAAAGTATGGTTCTAGTGAATAGCTCATTCAAATTGAAACATTGTTTGCAACTGTCTGGGCGTCAGGTGATTCAGGGACCTCACAGTGAGTGTATTTACCTACTGTAGACATGTCTCCAACCCCAAGCTGAACAGGACATGCCCTCTCCAGGAAACTGAGCAGTCAGTGGGATTAGGACAAAATAACAAGCAAAATTAAGAAGGCTGAGTAATTTCTTAGACAAGAAATTTTAAGTCTGAAAGCAGATAACTTGCAACAATATAATTATGGAGTTGGTGTCAAGAAATATATACTATAAATGAGGAAAAATTTTAAATCATTCCAAAACAACATACATCAGCAAAAACCAGGGAGATAATTTTTGTTTTTAAAATTACTTAGGATATCAGGATTCATAAAGTGTTTTATGAACTATAAGTGACATCTTTTAGCCCTGTAGTCTTAGGCAGTTTTTGATTCTCTTATTAGTTTTCGTTTTAAGTTTCTTTGGGTTATGAACCCTTTTGAAAAATGTATCTATGTACCACTTCCTTAGAAAAATGTGCATATACTTATGAATATAATGTTTATCAGACAAGGACAGAGGTTTCATGATTCTCTGAGAGTGTTACTATGAAGATCTAAGTTAAGAATGTCTGGTTTACAGTAATCTTGATGGAATGTTCCAGTGATTTGTGTGATTCCTGAGCTTTCTAGTATGTCTTAAGCCAACAAATGCACTCTCTTCCCAATTGTACCATGCCTAGTGGATACAGGAAGATTTAGAATTACCCAGACTCAAGACACTCTTTGTGAATCCTCATTAAAGAGGATCAGTTCAGCAATGAAAGGATAAAGCAGACTGAAAAATTTTCTTATCTCTTTTCACTACTTGACAACTCAATCTCCATTTCACAAGGATACAAGATACATTATTCCTATTAATTATAGTGATTGATTGAATAAATTTAGAAAAAAAATTGGAAATACTAGCTAGAATTTCCTAATGTACTCTAATTCAATGGTATCTATTAAATATACATTTAAGTTATTGAAATTATAATATCTGGGTGAGGCCCTGGCTTAGGTGCTAGGGTAAAAAAGTGAATAAGACAAAATCCCTAAACACATACAAGCAAAAAGTTGTTCAACAGTACAAAATTACAATTTGAGGAGGAATAAGTTCTGGTTTTAACAATAAAACATTTTAAAGTAGCTAGAAGAGAGTTTTGAATGTTCCACTCTAAAGAAATGATCCATGTTTACGATGATGGATTTACAAATTACCTTGATCACTACGCAATATATATGCATATAGAAACACCACAATGTACCCCATTCATTTGCAAAATTATTATCAATTTAGGATAAAATAAAATAAATAAAATGGAAAAAATGACAAAGTTCCTGCTGATATTCTTGTGGGAAGTGAAGCAGATATCTGACCATCTTATAATGTAATGCAGGTAAAGTGAATCTGTACATAAGAGATAAGAAAATATCTGCAGTATATTTTCATCTGCATTTATTCATGTCATGGTATTCCCTCTGCCTGGAGTCATCTTCATCTCTGGTTGTCAATTTTCTATTCATTAGTTCATTATTACAGATCGTTTTTTCTTTTTTCTTTTTTGGTAATGTGGATTGAACTCAGGGGCCCTCAATCACTGTGCAACATCCACAGCCCTATTTTGTATTTTTTATTTAGAGATAGGGTCTCACTGAGTTGCTTAGTGCCTTGCCATTGCTGAGGCTGGCTTTGAACTCACAATCCTCCTGCCTCAGCCTCCCAACCTGCTGGGAATACAGGTGTGTGCCACTGTGCTTGGATAAAAATCCTTCTTTATTCCAGCAACTTCATTAAATCTTTCTTTGTTCCCTTCATTTGAGGTCAATCTCCTCTTCTCCTGAAGCCCCATGACTTTCTCATTTCTCTTATTCTACTTTGATAGATGCTATTATTTTTTGTTAATGTTTTGAGATATTATAATTTCAAGGAACATTATGTATCTTGATCAGCTATTATAATGCCTATAGTTCCTAGCATAATACTTTGCATGGGATAAATTTATAAGTATGAGTTGAACTGAATTTATAATTGTTTGGCATTCCAATTTCATATAAATACTTGAAATATTTGACCATACATCTGGACTACAGAAGAGTCAGTTCTCTATGAAGTAGTTTGGTGGATGCCAAACAAACATTGAATTTTGTGTGTCTAAACTTTTACTAAATAGAATAAAACTATACATGCTTTTACTAATATCTTAAAGTTTCG